CGACGCTCTCAGATCTCACGTTGACGATCAAACACGGAAGAATCTCCTCGAGAAACGGAGGTCTGGGCTTGCGATTTCAGTTCATGTCTTTTTCTTTTCCTGTCGCTTGCTCGGCGAATCTGAAGAATTTTAGTCCTTACTTCGGTTTCGACGTTTCTGCTTGCGGTTGTACAGGAATTTGATTGAGGAGATCGATGAGTACGACGGAGATGATCCACTCTTGCCATGGATAGAGTGAGTTTGTTTACGTCGTTTCTCTTTTCTCGATTTAGCGATGTCAAACTAGAGAATTGATAACGGGTTGTTGAAAGATTAAAGAATTAGGTTATTGATCGGATTGAATCGTTTAGATAATAGTTCGATTGGGAAAAATCCATTTCCATGGTTCGCCTGAAGTAGAGTTTGGTTGAACAAAAGAGTAGGAGAGTGAGAGAATTGAAGTTAATCCGCTTTTTTTATGCTAATTTCACTGTCCAATTTGTAGTGTGGAAAATATCCATATTTATATGGTCTCCGCTCAGTACAGTTTTCTTGAATGAGGAATAGAGAATGGGGTTAGATCTGTTTCTACAAGTTGATTTGGTTACCCGATTTATAGCTTGCATTATCCCTGTGGTTTGTCAAGGTGTATAAAATGGATTCAAGAGGCTTTTCCACAAGGGGGGGACTGCTCGGGTCTGGTTTTGATATACGAGCAATGCGTGCGGAAGTTCTGGCATTCGGAACGCTACAAGGATGATCTTCGTTATCTCAACGTGTGGTTGGAATATGTATGTTCACTTTGCCTCCGTGTTCCCCTTGTGATCTTTCTTGAATGGACTTCAGGGTTTACGTTTCCGCGGAACCCTTTAAAGGTAGGAAATTCTTGGTACAGGCGGAACATTGCGCTGATGCGGAAGTGATATACAAGTTTTTGGAAGTCAATGACATTGGAAAGAAACACGCTTCATACTACATTTCGTATGCTCTGCACATGGAGTCCGAGTCCAAGGTGAAAACTTCCAACGAAGTCTTCAATCTTGGGATGTCTAGGTATGAGATCTCTCTTTGATTTAGAATTTGTATGCCATTCATTGTTTGCATTGATTTGCTTAATAGGGTGGGTTGCATCACCGTCATATTATACGTAGATGGAACTGGGTGGGATTTGCCCGGAATTTGGGCATTTGTACATGTTTTATGGAGTGGAATTTGCCCGGAATAAGTTATGATGTTAATGAATTCATGGAGTGGAATTCGTCTTTAGTGGAATTTCCGGTTACCGGATACAGTTTCACATTCCATATTTGTCCCATAGTGACCCTTGACCTGTGAGTGTCTGCAGAAAAGCCCAGCCAGTGGAAAAGTTGAATGATGCATACAAGCGATTCATTGTACGGTCGATGAGAAAGCCCATAAGCACCGATGAAGTATGGAATGTTTATTATGATATATTGGTTCCATGAGCATTTGTACATGATAATGAATGTCCCATGTGCCAGGAGGAAACAAAGGAGAATGATTTACCAGCAAGAAGCTTTGGTACTATATTGTCCAGGGGAGAAAATAGTAAGTATGAACTCCATTAGAAGCTCTTTAATTGCTTTACAAGTTTTGTGTTACACATGGTTGAGATGTTTGTTCTGTAGATGCAGGAAGGCAAACATTTGGAAGCTCTAATGGTCCAGCGAAAAAAATGAAGCCGAATTAGTAAGGGCATTAATCAATTTGGTCAACTGTTACACTGGTTTATTCACCCTTTATCTTAGTAAAACTGCTAATAAGACTTGGTTTTTGCAGCTCATCCAGGAAGCCTTTATCCATCTATAACGACAATGTTGCCGCCGATTCTACGTTGGGGCATCAACCAGACAAGTCAAAGGCGGAGGTTGGTTCATGGCTCTTGCTTGGGGGCAGAGCTGAGAGGAACAAAGAAAACAACTCCTTGCCTGGAAAATGGACATCATTTAAGGTTTTACTTTTGGTTTCACAGCTATTGCTATTTATTGATTTTCTCTGTAATGAGACTTGCTAACAGAATTTCTTCTCCCAGGTTCCTCAGAGACCCTTTACGAGAACTGCCACAGCCCCTCCTCTACCTTCTTCTTCCTTCCACGTGTTTGTCGACGAAGAGTGTACAGAGTAAGTGAAAGGCAAATCAGCAGCAACATTTAGGTTCTATTTCGATGAAGAGTGTAATGCATCGTCTCTTCTAACTCGACTTGAAATGTGTGGTTAGCAGAGAGGTTAAGAAGAATCACGATGAGAACAAATCATCTTCATCAAATCTGCCCCTTAAGGATGGCCAGGAAATAAAGAAGTAAGGCTCCCTTTTCTAGCTTCATCAGACATATTACGTTGTTTTGTAATCCGATGGTTTCTAATGATGGGTTTGTGTCTCTAAAACTGTAGAGAAACCGAGCTACTGAGGCAGAATCCTTTGCGCAATTTCCCTCCCAACAGCTTTCTTCGATGAGTATGCAATGGCCTAGAGCTATCTTATACAATGTTCAATGTCGGCTTTTGTCTCTAAAGCCTGTACAACTGTTGAGCATGAGTTTGTTGCTTGTTGTGTGCTGTTATGAGAACTCACTTGCGTACCGTTTTTCGTCTTTATGTCTTTTCATTTCCATGTATACGCGTTTTTACATAACAGGAACTTGATTTGTCTTGGGCTGTTGCCACTTCCCGTTTCCATAAACACAAACGTTGTCCCCCGGTAAGACCCACTACCATTGGCTCTCTAAATACATTGGGCCTACGCCTCAAACGTGCTCGTACCTAGACTCAATCTAGGGCCTTATAAAAATTTCCTTTTAAATTCCATCTAGGGCCTTCTCTCTCTCCTCATCAGAATCCAGAAAAATTAAAATCCACCGACGAAATCACTGCAAATCTCAAGAGTTCCGTCAGATATGTATAGATATTTGATTTAGGTAAGTTATCATCACATAAAACCGTCTATTAGCAAGTACAAATAGTGATACCGAATAGGACCTTATTGATTTTGGAGTCTCATTTTTTAAATAATCATTATGGATAATAATTATTACAATATCTATTATTATTTTTTAGAATAATAATACATAAAATTTAATTTTTTTATATTTATTTCTAGAATTACTTTAGAAATAATTACTATATATATTCATATATATATATATATATAAGTTTTTAAAAACTCATATTTATTAATTCTTTTCAAATATATTAATTTTAAAATTTCATCTATTTATAATAATAAATTATTTATTTTTCATAGATGATAATAATGATCTAATATATTATTTTATTTTTTATTTTTTATTTCAATATAAATAATTATATTTATATATATATTTTAAAATTATTATTGTAAAATTATTATATATTTTTGTTTAATTATATATTTATTGGATTAAGAATACTTTTATTATTTTAAAATATTATTATAAAAAATATAATATTAAAAAATAAAATGTAATTTTAGTATTAATAATATTTTATTACATAAATTTATAGTTTTTAAGAAAAATAACATTTAAATACCTAAACTTTAAAAAAAAACTCAGATACTTGAATTATAAAATTTTCATAAAAATATCTAAACTTTTTAAAAATTCTATAAAAATCCTAAATTTTTAAAAAAATTTCAAATAAACTCTTAACAGTTTTAAAAAAATTTCAAATAAACTCAAAATTCATTAACGATCTTAACTTATTTTATTTGGAAAATACCTAAATTTTGGATTTATTTAGAAAATTTTTAAAAATCTAGATATTTATATAGAATTATTTAAAAATTCAGTTATTTATATAGAAATTTAATAATTTATATATTTATCTGATTTTTTTTTTTGTAAAAATTTAATTACTTATATGAGATTTTCTATAATTTTTATTAATTAATTTTAATAATTTGTATAGAACCTCAAAAGTTTTTGGACGACCATGTCATCACATAACCCAACATTTATTTTGAATTTACTAGACGAGACCCGCGCGATGCGCGGACTATTCTTTTCTTGTTATTAATATAATTTTGTTGTTTTTATTATAAAAATTATTGATATAAATATAACAAAAATTGATATATATAATATAAAGTTAAATTATATTATTAAATCATTATATATATATTAAAGAAGTGAAAATGGAAGAATATAAATATTATCGTATTATTATATAATAAAAAAACTTTTATGTATACGTTGAATAATAAGTTTGTCAATGATTTGTTTCGGATGTCTTTATTCTCAATATTTTCTGTTTTCGATACGTAACAAATAATTATTTATTATATTGAATTGTACATTCATATAAATCGTTGTAGATTATGATATATAAAATGATGAAATACTTAAATCATAAAGATGGTTAATTAATTTATATAATATTAATATTGTTTATATATAATATATTAAGAATTTACGAATTTATATGATTTTTATAATTTCTATCGATAATTTTAAGGATTACATCAATAACGATTATAACATTAAATTTAACATTCAATTTGTTCATTTGTGGGCGGATTTCTATTGCAAAATCATCTCGAAAAACTTTACAGTATTGTTCTTTTTAGATTAAAAAATTACAGAAATATTTGTTAAAAATTAAATAAAAATTAAAATTTTCAAATTTTATACTTGAATATTACTTTTGATTTATTCATGTGATAAAAATAATATAATTAGAATACATCACTAATTCATTTATAATTTATTATAATTTTATAAATTTTAAAAAATTGTATATAATTTTACTTACAATATAATGTATATTTCTAACTTTTATTAAAACAAAATTATTGTTATTCGTTGTCCTTTAAAATGATAAGATAATATTTATGTTAGTTAACTATAACATTTTTTTCTAAATAATTAATAATAATTTAGAGCATATTTTATCATAAATTTTGAATTATTATAACAATAAAAATCATTTGTTGTAAATTTATTAAAAATTATTAATAATTATATAAATATAAATATTAATAATTTATATCACTTTTAAAATCCAAGTATAATTTTTTTACTTGTTCTTTTGTAATTTAATAAATATAGAAAAAATTATATATAGCCATACATATTTCTCTTGTGTTTTTTACCATTATGGTCGATGACTTTTTTGGATGGAGAGGGACATTGAGATTATAACACCGATCAAAATTGCTAGAAAGTTGTAATCATACAAGTGTGTGATCCCTGTCTGATTAATGAATATATTGTCCAAACAAATTATACCAAGTGAAACGACTAACAAAAATAAAACATATACTATTTTCTATTCCAACCTTTTCGAGTTTTTATTTCTAAAAAATAATCTAATATATGCTAAAGTGACCACAACTTTCTATTCATTCAATTCTGTAGAATCCATCTTGTTCACGCTATTCTTGTAATTATACAAACTTTGAACTTATAATGATATATTGAGTGATAAGATATATAAAAAAATATTAGTTAAAATATAATAATGATACAATGGACATTTGGAGATATTCAAATACAATGGAAAGCTTTTGTGTCTCTGGTAAAGAATAACAGTTTCGTCATCGCAAATCTTATGAAATCTTATATGTATTCCATTTTCATGTCTTTCTTTCATTTCTTCGTTATTTATTGACGAAATCTAAAGATTCGATTTTTTAGAATTTTGGTTGAAAACACAAAAAAAAACGTCATATTTTTGTCATTCTTTATGAGAAGAGATTGGCTATTCTCACCTTTTTTATTGCTGTTTTTTTTTCTGATCATATTTTATAACTTAAAAAAACTAAATAAGAAATTGAAAAAGAGAAAAAAATATTAAAAAAATAGTTACAACATTACCGACATAGTTTTGCTCGATAAAACCGGTGGAGTTGTTAACCAACAAACAAATGATAACCAATAAAAAAGAGAGAACATGAGAGGTTAGTTTAAACTGGTGGAGTCGATGCGCGAGATATTTTTTTTTGTTATGAAAATAAATTGTTTGTTTTTTTTTCGTATAAAAAATTATTACTGTAAATATAACAAAATTTATATATATATATAAATATAAAGTTAAATTATATTATTAATCATTATATATATTAAAGATATAAAAAATGGAAAAATATAAATATAATCGTATTATCATATAATAAAATTATTTTTATATATACGTTGAATAAATAAGTTTATCAATGATTTGTATGGAATGTATTTATTCCCAGTATTTATTATTTTTACATGTGTTTAAAATTAAAATTTTGATGATATTGAGTTGTAAATTCATATAAATTAAAATGATGAAATACCTGAATTATTAAAAATATTAATTAATTTATATAATTTTGATATTATTCTATATATAATATATTAAGTATTTATGATTTTATATGATTTTTTTTGTAATTTCAATGGATAATTTTTAGATTTACATTAATAACGACTGTAATATTAAAGTTAACATTCAATTTGTTCATTTGTGAGTGGTTTTTATTGCATATGTACATCAACATACCATTAGTTTAGTTTGACTTGGTATTGTCGTTTCACCACGTTAGTATACACATAGATTACCATGTCAAATATTTTGAAATCGATTTAGATATGAACCTGATTTAACATTTAACCAATTTAATTGAATTCGATCCGATTAACATTGATCGGTTTAAAACAAATAACCCTACTTTTTTTTTTTACTTTACTCTTTCTCATTTGATCGCAAATATGTTTCGGTCAAATTTTCTGATTTTTTCTGATGATTTCCTATGATGATACACTCCGTCGCAGCTAGCTCCATCTCCAGCCTTGTTTTCTGATTCCACTGTCGAAGAAGTTCTCTCTCGAAGAGGTCTACTTTCCGAAGAACTTTGTCTAGTAATCTTTTAAATTCATTGAAAACATAATCCGATAGATTGCCTCTAAATTTTTTTTCGGGATTTATTAAAATTCGGTTTCAAAAAATTCGATTTTCTAAAAATAATATCGTGTGGGAATTTAGACGGTTCGGATCGGAAAGATATCGTATTTTCGGTTCGATTCTGAAAAATCGAATTAAAACGTCCATCCCTAATATTTTTTCATTTAATTCTGTAAATATCCAAAATTAATGTCGTTCTAACTTTTGAATCTTAATAATCTATATTTTATATTTTGTTAAACTTAAAAGTCATTAATTTTTTTTTATAAAATTTATTTATATGAATTTTGTAAAAAATGATAAACTTACTTATTTAATACATTGAAATATATTGATAAAATCAAATTACTATACACTTATCATTACATATTATATTATTATATTGTCAGATTAAAGAATACTCAAAATATTATATTATTATATTGTCAGATTAAAGAATACTCAAATATATTACCCGATTCAAATTTTTTTCCCAAATGAAGACTAAAAAAAATGACATCAGCATACCATTAGTTTAGTTTGACTTGGTATTGTTGTTTCACCATGTTAGTATACACATAGATTGCCATGTCAAATATTTTGAAATCGATTTAGATATGAACCTGATTTAACATTTAACCAATTTAATTGAATCCGATCCGATTAACATTGATCGGTTTAAAACAAATAACCCTACTTTTTTTTTTACTTTACTCTTTCTCATTTGATCGCAAATATGTTTCGGTCAAACTTTCTGATTTTTTCTGATGATTTCCTATGACGATACACTCCGTCGCAGCTAGCTCCATCTCTGGCCTCGTTTTC